CATGGTGGCTCACAATCATCTATAATGAGATCTGGTGCCCTCTTCTGGCATGCAGGTATATGTGCAGGCAGAACACTACATAATAAATTAATAAAAAAAAATCTTCCAAAAAAATTCAGTCTAGGAAAACACAAAAACTTTTTTGTTTGTTTTTTAGAGACAGAGTTTCTCTGTGTAATAGCTCTGGCTGTCCTGGAACTTGATTTGTAGACCAGACTGGCCTCGGCCTCCCAAGTGCTGGGATTAAAGGCATGCGCCACCCCGCCGGGTGAAGAACATCTTAAAATGTATGCTGAGAATATTGTTTTCTTCCCTCCACTCTCTATCATACATCTTTAACAGAGTCCTTGGTGCTCTTACCCAGTCTTCGTATTACAGCGTTTGTAGCCCTACTCCTTTTTCTCTGTCTGGATGCTAAGAGTCTAGGGGATTTGGCAAATCCCTTAGAAGGCTGAGTAATATTTAAGTTTGGCATCATTGCTAGGTTTCTATTGTTGTTGCTTATGTATATATAAAGGTCATCTTGATAGTAGTCTTTGTTGTGATCTATAGTTACCTAATTTGGGTCCTATAAATTCTGTCCAGGGATTTGTTTTGTTTTCTGAGATTTAATAATAATAATAATACAAAACTACCTTGCAACTAAGTGTGGTGGTGCATTCCCATAATCCCAACTTTCAGGAGGCTAAAACAGGAATATGGAGAGTTTGAAGTCAGCCTGAGATACTAGCAATTCTCTTTATCTAAAAAGAGCCCTAAAACTACTCTCCTAAGTGCCCTTATATCCCTCCCTCTCCCCTCTCTCTCTCATTTTTGTTTTGTTTTTTGAGACAGGGTTTCTCTGTATAATAGCCCTGGTTATCCTGGAACTCAATTTGGTAGATCAGGCTGGCCTAGAACTCAGAGATCTGCCTGCCTCTGCCTCCTGAGTATTGGGATTAAAGGCGTATTCTTCACTTTAACCTCTACACTGTGTAGTAGCTACCTTTTCCTCTCTTCTGAAATGAAAAGCTCTTTTTCAAGCCCTGAATTTCTTTTATCATTAGCCTACTGGCAGCGTTGGGTTAGCCTTTAGGTAAAGTGTTAAATGTCTACATGTATTAACATCTGACTTTAAACATTCGTGTAGTCGTGTGTTGATAATAAAAGATACCAGTTGTCCCAGGCATGGATCATAACACCTTACACTTAATTAGGAAGCTATCCTCCATCTCTGTATGTTAGTGATTGTATTGTTAGGGATGTTTGTTTCATTCTGAGGTCCCTTCCAGTTTTCGTGAATTATAAAACAGTGGTGTTCAAAACTGGAGAATTTACCTATTTTACTAGATCTCTTTGATGACCTCTTAATAATTATCCAGAATCCTGTTAATTTAGGTTTTATGGTATGGTTTCCAAAATAATGTACAGAGGACCAACCTACAGTTTACAGTAGGTGAAGAATGAATGTGTTAAACTTAGGTATGTTTAATTTGTAAATTACAACTTAATAAAACTTGCCTTTGGCTCTAAAGACATTTATCTCTTGCCAACTTTATATACAACTTTTTGGTTTTTTTGTTTTTGTTTTTCGAGGCATGGTTTCTCTGTGGCTTTGGAGGCTGTCCAGGAACTAGCTTTTGTAGACCAGGCTGGTCTCAAAGTCACAGAGATCCACCTGCCTCAGGCTCCGGAGTGCTGGGATTAAAGGCATGTGCCACCAACAAGCCTGTTATATACAACTTTTTAATTGCCTTTTTTGTTTTTTTTTTTGTTTTTTGTTTTTTGTTTTTTTTTTTTGTTAGTGGTGTGTTTTGCTTTGGTTTGTTTCTTGACAGTGCTGGGGATTGAACCCAGAACCTTTACCATGCTACACAAGTGCTGTACTGATGAGCTACATCTCTGACCCTCAGGTTTACTATCTCAATCTTACCATCTCAGATGGCCATGAAGTCAAGGATGGCCTTGAATTCTTTATTCTCCTATTTCTCATGTGCTGGAAGAATAGACATGTGTTACCATACCTGGCCTTGGTTTTGCTTAAAAGATAAATTAATTTCTTTCTTTTCTTCTGTCAAAGGAGCTTTGCTTTTTTCTTTTTGAGACAGGCTCTCTTTATTATGTAACTCCACCTGTCCTGAATTCCTTCTGTAGACCAGGCTGGCCTTAAATCCAGAGATCCACCTGTCTCTGCCTTAGTGCTGGGATTTAGGGCATGAGCACCACACCCAATGAGAGGTTTGCTTTAAAGTTTATGGAAAACAGTCATCTCTTCTTCTAGTTTTGTTTATTTTACAATTTAACCTATCCCAGATCATTGGATTATGAATTGTATAGTCCAGACAATAGTATTTTAGGATGCCTCAAATGTTTCAAGAATCTAGACTGTCAATGTATGTCGCATAAATCCTGTTTTAAAAAAAAATTTTATATCATTTCAAAGACCCTGTTAAGTGATCATGGAATAAAATTTTATAAAATGTTTGCAGTCTTGGTTTTATTAGTTTTAGTTTAGTTTTGTTACAAATCAAAGCTTAATTCATTTTAGATTATTGGTATATAGAAAACAGTAGATCCTGGGTTATTTAACACTAGTTTAAATACTACTCAGGTAGGTTATGTTTTGTGTGTGGTTTTTAAATTTATTTTTTGGTGAGTGTCTTGGTGCTCAGGACTGAGTTTAGGAACTTGTGCCTGTTAAACAAATTTATGCCTTTTATACTATATTAAAGCTAAGCCCAAACTGGACAGTGGTGGTGCACACCTTTAATCCCAACACTTGGGAGGCAGAGACAGGTGTATCTCTGAGTTCAAGGCCAACCTGGGCTATAGAGCAAGTTCCAGAACAGGCAGGGCTACATAGAGAAACCCTGTCTCGAGGAAAAAAAAAAAAAAAGGTTAAGCCCATTTTAACTAATGAAGTATTTGGAGTGTAATTATCTTCATTGCTCTCCTTCCCCATTGGACATTAAACCCAAGCTTTGTGCATTAGACAAGCACTCTCCACCCACTCTTCTAGTGAATACCCCCCTTTGTCTTCATGCTGTTGTTTTAAATTTTATTTTCTGTGTATGGGTGTTTTGTCTGCACCACATTACAGTGCTTGTGGAGGCCAGAAGAGGGCATCAGATCCCCTGGAACTGGACTTGCAGCTGGTTGATGGTTGGAATCTAACCCTAGGTGCTCTGGGAGAGCAGCCAAGTACTCTTAACCGCTGAGCCATCGCCCAGTCACTGCCCCATGCTGTTTTCTAAACTAATTCTTACTTGTGCATTGCTATTCTTTATACCTCAGGGACTTAATGTAGTACCACATGTACACTCTCCACTGAGCTATGCTCAGATATTGCATGTAGTATTATATATAATGTTGGTAGTAAACAAGAATTGTCCACTTCATGCCCTTTTCTTTCTTAGTTGAGATATTGAAACTCAAATTACTTAAGTGGTTTTTCCACAATTTCATTTGTGGAATATAGTGAAACTTTTTAGTTTTATGTGTATTTACTTGGATGGTCTAGATTAGTAATTTTCTACCTTGAACTCCAATGTATAAAACACAGTCAAGAGGACCCAGTTCTAAAGCCCTGTTCATTTAGCTTGAATTAGCTTGTCTGTGTATATTTTTTCTTTTTTTTTAATCCCTGGGAGCTTTGGCCCAGGTCTTTACCACTTGGCTAAGTAAGCATTCCATACTACTGAGCTGCATCCCTAACTTCTTTAAAAAAAAAAAAAAAACTTTGTTTCTTGAGTTTATGATTATACAGATTAAGTAGTATATTTATTCATAATATTTTGTCAAACCTAGCAGTAGACCTAGCATGATTCACACATATAAATCCTAGCATTTGGGCTGCAGAGATGTCTCAGGTTAAGGGCCACTGACTGCTCTTCCAGAGGACCCAGGTTCAATTCCCAGCACCCACATAGCAGCTCACAGCTGTCTGTAATTCCAGTTCCAGGGGACCCGACATCCATGGAAAAACACCAATGCACATAAAACTTAAAAAATAGGTAGGTAGGTAGGTAGGTTGATTGATTGATTCATTCATTCATTCATTCATTCATTCATTCAAGCATTTAGGAATCCAGGGCAGAAGAATCCAGGAGGATCCAGATCAGTTTAGGCTATGTAGACCTGAAATTGGAGTTAGAAGTGGTTGTGATCCATCATGCAGGTTTGAGAATTCAAACCCAGAGCCTCTGAAGGAACATCCAGAACTCTTTACTGCTGAGCCATCTCCAGACCCCTAGAGTGCTTGTTTAGCATGCAGAAGATCATTTTACTCCCATACTGGGTAAAGGGTACTAACAACAGTACTAGGCAAGTTTTTCAAAAGTGCTAATAGTGACTAGAGAGTTGCCTCTGCAGCTCAGAGCACTGGCTGCTCTTCTGGAGGGCTAGGTTTGATTCTCAACACCTGCATGGTGGCTCCCACCATCCTAGTAACTCTGGTTCCAGGGGAATCCCTCTTCTGGCCTCTGAAGGCATCAAATGAAAACCTGTACACACTTGCAGACAAAACACCTATACACATAAAATAATTTTGTAAGTGTATACAAAGCAATGAGGACTTTTTGGTTTTATGTTTTTGAGACACAGTCTTACATTGTAGTCCAGACTGAACTAGAGCACAAACATGTAGCAGCTCATGCTGGCCTTGAACATCTGGAGGGCTGACATTGTACTTGTGAGTGACCATTGCAGGCATCAGAATGGTAAAGTCCCTAGTTGTGCTTCAGAGTACCAAAAGACATTGTAGAAATAGGTACACTGTGTATTTCTGTACCCCTGCTGGACAGTTTAAAGTTCCAGAAGTGACTTAAGAGTTATTTGAGGTGTTAAAATATTCCTAAGCGTGTAGTTATGAAAAGAATCCTTGGGGCTTGTGTAATCTTGAGTATATATGTGAAACAAGTTATTACTAAGCAGTTTGTAGGTGATGATTGGTTGGGTTTTAGAAAGTCATGAATCTAAGCTTTCATATCATGAATGTGACTTGACTTTCTTTCACTTGATAGGAAAGAGCTCCTCTTTTTCTGAAGAAAAAGGTGAATCTGAAGATGAGAAGCCGAGGAAAGGAGAAAGACGATCATCCAGGGTTAGACAGGTAATTCAGTCCTAGGTCACAGTTGCTGCTCAATGTGACATTCTGGGTACTTCTGCCATCCTGGGGTCTCTAGATTTCTGGGTAGCTATCTTTCTAATATTACTCTTTGTTGTTGTTGTTGTTTGTTTTTGTTTTTCCAGACAGGGTTTCTCTGTATTGTTTTGGAGGCTGTCCTGGAACTCGCTCTATAAACCAGGCTGGCCTCGAACTCTCAGAGATCCGCCAGCCTCTGCCTCCCGAGAGTTGGGATTAAAGGCGTTGAGACTTCTGAGCAAATATGTACATTTTTAACATTTTGTTTTTGAGACAAAGTCTGCTCTCTGATTTTTCCCAAGTACTAGAGTCACAGACTTGTGCTACCATGCATGCCTGACATGAACGCACTGATATGTGGATTTTAAAAACTTAAATGTGGCCGGGCGCTGGTGGCGCACGCCTTTAATCCCAGCACTCGGGAGGCAGAGGCAGGCGGATCTCTGTGAGTTCGAGGCTGGGCTGGACCAACAGCCTCCAAAACAATACAGAGAAACCCTGTCTCATAAAAACCAAAAAAAAAAACCTTAAATGTGAGGGCTCAGTGAGTAAAGGTGTTCGGTACCTTGATTTCAGTCTCTTAAGACCCTCAGAGTAGAAAAGGAATATCAATTCCCATCATATTGTCCTCTTTATCTCCACACACATAAATAACGTAATTTTTGTTTGTTTGTTTGTTTGTTTTTGTTTTTTGAGACAAGGTTTCTCTGTATTGTTTTGGAGGCTGTCCTGGAACTTGCTCTGTAGACCAGGCTGGCCTCGAACTCACAGAGATCCGCCTGCCTCTGCCTCCCGAGTGCTGGGATTAAAGGTGTGTGCCACCAACGCCCAGCTCCGTAATGTGTGTGTGTGTGTGTATGTGTGTGTGTGTGTGTGCGCGCGCGTGCACGCTGCTTTAATCACAGTGTGACCAAATACCCGACAAGAAAAGGAGGGTTTATTTTCACTTTTAGTGTGAAGGAATACAGGATAGCACAGCAGGTAAGGCATGGTCACAAGAGTGTGAGGTGGCGGCCACATTGTGCCTGTAGTTAGGAAGCAGACAGATGGTAGCAATAGTCCCATTTACATGTCTTATACACCTTAGCAGTCGGCTCCGTAATTTTTAAAAATTAAAAAAAATTAGATATTGAAAGTTAATAGTCTTAAAGGTATAATATGACAAGATATGGCATAATTATTCAATTAAAACTATATGAGTGCATTAATTATAGCTAGTAAGTACATAGAGCAGTTGACGTTAAGGAAGAGCAGTGGGAAAGTGTAGGCATGGCGTAATTGACTGCAGAGACGTGACGTGGAGGGCAGCGGTGCACTGACAGTCTCAGCACTTGGAGACAGGGGCCATCTAAATACAAATAACAATAGGTTAGTTCTTCTCTCTGCTTTCTAGATATTGTTTCCAGATGTTAAAAGTTCAAAAAGGGTCTAGAGAGAAATGGCTCAATGATTAAGAGCACTGGTTGTTCTTATAGAGGACCTGGGTTCAAATCCCAGCACACACACACATACACACACACACACACACACACACACACACACACACACACACACACACACAGTAGTTCACAACCATCCTTAACTCTAATTCTAGGGGATCAGACACCCTCTTCTAACCAGGCACATACATGGAGTAGCCATGTGAAAAATATTCATGCACATGAAAGAAACCTTCAGAAAAATTTAAAGCTAGGGATGGGTGGTGGTGGCATATGCCTTTCATCCCAGCACTCAGGAGGCAGAAGCAGCTCTGTGAGTTCAAGGCTACCCTGGTCTGCACTTAAAACTGCACTTAAAAACCTGTCTCAAAAAACAAAACAAAATAAAAGCTGGGGCCGGAGAGATGGCTTAGCAGTTAAGAGCCCTGTCTGCTTTTCCAGAGGAGTTGAGTTCTAGCTACCCACGTGATAGTTTACAACCATCTGTGGCTTTAGTTCCCACGAGTTGAATGCCCTTTCTGGTACTTGTACTCACATACTCACACATAATAAACTCTTATATGAATAAGTAATAAATCTTTTTAGAATGCATAAAGAGGGACTGAAAGCTAAAGAAACAAGCCGGGAGCAGCTTCACTGTCCTGCTCCTTAGTCTCCTCCACTGTGATTTCCTAGGGAGCCCATGCCAGCAGTGGTTGCTGTCTGTCTCACCTGCTTCTGCGTGCCTGGAAGTGTGTTGCTCAGTTTCTCCTTACCTAAAAGTACCTTAAGAGATGCTCTTTTTCATCTGTTCATTGAGAACAAGTACATTTGAAGCCATTGTATATCTTTTCTTTTAGGCAAGAGCAGCTAAGCTCTCTGAGTACAGCCAGGCTGCTGAGGAGGAAGAGGATCAAGAAACACCATCTAGAAACCTGAGGGTCAGAGTAGATCGAAATTTAAAAATGGAGGAGGAGGAGGAAGAAGAGGAAGAAGATGATGATGAAGAGGAGGAGGAAGAGGTAGATGAGGGACAGAAATCTGGAGAGGCAGAGGCACCAATCCTGAAACAGTTTGAGGATGAAGAAGGGGAAGAAACACTCAGAGCAAAACCAGAACAGGTGGCAGACGAGAAGCCCCAAATCATAACACCCCAGGAAAAGAATGGGTCAGAGAAAGGAGGACGAGTTACAAGATCCCAGGAAGAAACTAGAAGAAGTCACCTGGCCAGACAGCAGCAAGAGAAAGACACACAGGTAGTTTCTCTCCTTCAGGAAGCAAATGAAATAAAGTCTTCCCAAGGCTTGGAGGAAAGATCACAGTCTCCTTCCCCACCTCCACTCTCTGAGGACCTAGAGAAGGCCCCTGTTGTGCTACAGCCAGAGCAAGTGGTCAGTGAAGAGGAAACTCCCCCACCTTTACTTACCAAGGAAGCTTCATCTCCTCCAGCTCATATGCAGCTCCAGGGTGAGGAAGACGTAGAGCCAGTGGGAGGCCCAGCACCCCCTGTCCTCATTCAGTTATCACCTCGTAATACAGAGCCTGAAAGTCGGGAGCTGGTGATGTCTCCACATCCTGTCCAGTTAGTAAGGGGCCTATCTCCTTTGTCAAGTACTCCAGACACCAAAGCAGCATCTCCAGCAGACAGAGTGTCGGATGAGAGCGCCCTGCCTCTGCCTCAGAAAAGCATACAGTCTGAATACTCAGCCCAGAAGGGTCTTGAAACTGAGCCTGAAAAATCTGCTCACCCCCTCCCTCCAAAGGTAGAGGAATTAGCACCCACCAAAGGGACCACTGAGGAACTTGTGAAAAAGCAGTCTTTGGAACAGAAGGAGGGCAGAAGAGCTTCCCACACTCTCTTCCCAGATCATAGTTTGAAACAGTCAGCTGATTCTTCCTCTAGCCGGTCCTCCTCACCTTCATCCTCGAGCTCTAGATCCAGATCTCACTCTCCTGACAGTTCAGCCTCCCACCCGCAGTCATCTCCAAGATCTAAACAGAAAAATGCACCCCAAGCACGAGCTCACACCAACCCTCATGGTAGACCCAAGATGGGCTCCAGGTCAACATCAGAATCCAGGTCACGGTCCCGATCCCGTTCCCGTTCTGCATCAAGCAGCAGCAGAAAAGTGAGTATGGAGACTCCTGCCTCTATCCTAATAGTGTTATAGCCCAGACTCACCTGTGACGACATCTAACAGGAAGAGAGAATCCTCCTTTAGTCTCCACTGTACCTTCCCCTCATTACAGCCATTGGTCATTAGGACCCTGTCCATTCTGAGCCCCTTTGATTACACAGAATAAATCCCTGGGTGGAACTTAGTAAATTTTGTTGAATAAGTAGTTGGAGATCGACAGGCAGTGATGGCGCTCGCCTTTAATCCCAGCACTTAGGAGGCAGAGGCAGGCGGATCTCTTGAGTTCGAGGCCAACCTGGTCTATAAAATGAGTTCCAGGACAGCCAGGACTATTTCACAGAGAAACCCAATTTCGGAAAAAAAAAAAAAAGTAGTAATAGTAATTGGAGATCATTCACTTAAATGGGAGTAGACACAGGAGACAGATCTAGAAGAAGGGCAAGTATTTGTAACCCATGACTGTATTAACACATAGGAATGTAGAGGCTGAAACAGGAATGAAACTCAGTGCCTGTTTGGGCTATATAGGTCTCTTTATCTAAAAACAAAAAGACTCAGAGTATGGATTAGGTGAGCAAAAGCTGGAGAAGCCATTGGTCTCTTAAATATACATCATCATTCATATTCATCTCTACCAAATATTTGCCTTATAAAATAATTTTTCCTTCTGTTTCATTTTGTGTTTTTAGTCTCTGAGCCCTGGAGTCTCCAGAGACAGCAACACCAGCTACACTGAAACCAAAGATCCCTCGTGTGGTCAGGAGGCTGCAGTTTCACCAGGGCCACAGCTGCAGGTCCTTGAGCCAAAGGAGAAGATGACGCCCACATCCTCAGCCTCTGTCCGGGGAAGGCATCTGAGCCAGACTGAGCCAGAGCAGAAGCATGTGACCCAGAGGTTGCAGCCTGAGCAGGTAAGCTGTCACAGCCTCTAGGCCTCATTCCCCACTGTTTAATGTTTTTGAGACAGCACCCTGATTTATAGCCCAGGACAGCCTCAAACTCAAGGTCCTGCCTTGGCCTTCCAAGTGCTGAGATTACAGGTGTGTGCCGCTGCAGCCAGCACATTTGTCTTCAGAGAGTTCCAGGACAGCTAGAGCCACATAATAGACCCTGTCTCGTGTAGCTTTTTTTGCTTTTTTGAGGGGTAGTGGTGGATTTTTTGGGTTTGATTGTTTGTTTTCCCTGAGACAGGGTTTCTTTGTAGTCCTGGCTGGCTTCAAACTTAGAGGTTTACCTGCCTCTGCCTCCCAAGTGCTGGGAATAAAGACATACACAACTGCTGCCCCACTGAGAGACCCTGTCTCAAAAAAAATTATTATTATTATTAATGATGGTGCAGGTCTCTCATCTTCGTACTAAGGAGGATTGCTTTGAATTCATGTCTAATCTGGGCTACATAGTGAGATCCTGTCTCAAAAAAAAAGATCTGTGGGGTACAGAGGTTTGGATGTGTTTGCTCAATTGTAGATTTCGTGCTTAGCAAGCAAGAAGCCTTAGGTTTAATCCCAAGTACCTCACTAGTCTAATAAAATGATTACTAGAATAGAATGTGTCTCTTTGTCGTTGATGCAGTGCTGGGGATGGAACTTGGGGCCTCATACATGTCAGCTATTTCTCCAGCCCCTATAGAAAGCCTTACCTAGTATTAAAAATAGAGCCTTACACATAGTAGGAAAGTAGTAGTATTAATCTATGTCTTTCAAACGTTTTACTTCTTATTTTAAGATAGTGTCTTGCATTCTTCATGCCTTAGCTTTCTGAGTGTTGAGATTACAGGTCTCAGCCGCTGACCCAGCAGAAAGTCTTGAAGAACCTACCCTTAGCCAGGTATGGTGGTTCACATTTTCAGTTCAGGCACTCAGGAGACAGAACTGTATCTGTGAGTTGCAAAACAAGTTCCAAGCCAACCAGAGAATGAGAACCTGCATCAAATAAAAAATTGTTAGGGCAGTGGTGGTGCATGCCTTAACCCCAGCACCAGGTGGGCAGAGGCAGGCAGATCTCTGAGTTCAAGGCCAGCCTGGTCTAAAGAGTTCTAGGACAGCCAGGGCTGCTCAGAGAAACCCTGTCTTAGAAAAGTGAAACTGAAGAGGGAGAAAGAAAAAGACAGACCTTTTGGACAACAGGGGTGTATGCCTAAAGGACTCGGGAGGCAGAGACAGGCGTATTTTTGTGAGTTTGAAGCAACCTGGTCTACAGAGCAGGTTCTAGGACAGCAAGGACTTCACAGATAAACCCTGTCTTGAAACCCCCACACACAAGTACCTCCCATTCCACATTCTAAAATGACAAAGATGGCCATATGTGAATGTCTGTCCTTCCTGTCTTACTAGCTCCAGGTTAAAGAAAGGAACCTAACAGGATTAAATCCTTTGTTTTGTTTGTTTGTGTTCTTCATTAACAGGGGAGCCCAAAGAAGTGTGAAGCTGGAGAGGCAGAGCCACCAGCTGCCACACAGCCTCAAACCTCAGAGATTCAGATCTCTCACCTCCCAGAATCAGAACGGATTCATCACACTGTGTAAGTAAGGCTGTAACAAGAACGACCACTATTGGGTCATTCTTGACTCGCTAGGGCTTCCTTTTAAAGTACAAAGGCAGAGTTTTAATGAACAGAGGCCAGACTTTAGTGTCACTGTGGTAGGGCCCCAACTCCCAGAACATTGAGGTAGTTTGAAAAATATTGATCAGGGCATTAAAAAACATCTGGGCTCTTTGAGCTGAACTAGGCGACTCCTTTAAACAGTAAACACCTGAGTGTAACCCTGAGTTCTGGTTAAGGCAAGGTTGAGGAATCCTAATTCAGTGTTCTAGTCACATTCACCAGGCTCTTACATCTGAGCTACGAACTCACTGTAATAAAGAAAGTTCAGGACCTGGAGAGATGGCTCAGAGGTTAAGAGCACAGACTGCCCTTCCAGAGGTCCTGAGTTCAATTCCCAGCAACCACATGGTGGCTCACAACCATACATATTGAGATCTGGTGCCCTCTTGCGTGCAGACATAAATGGAGGCAGAGTGTTATATTCTTTAAAAAAAAAAAAAAAAGAACAAGAAGCTAGGCATGGTGGTTTGTACCTGTAATCTCATTTGCAAGGCAGGCAAAAGAGGATTAAACTCCAATGGGCTCATTGCAAATTTGACAGCAGCTAGTGAAACTCTGTTGCAAAATAAATAAATAGGCTCATAGAATGCACAGGAGGATGAGACAGGAGAATTGCCACAAGTTCCAGGTCAGACTGGTTGACATGGTGAGTTCCAGGCCAGTGCTGCATATCAAGCCTGTATCTAGGCTGGGCATAATGGCGCACGCCCTTAATCTCAGTACTCAGGAGGCAGACATAGGCAGATTACTGATTTGGAGGTTAGTCTGGTCTATATAAGAAATTATAGAACAGCTAGGGTGACATAGGAAGACCTTGTCTCAGAAAATAAAGAGAATGTCACACAAGCCTGGGTATGGTGGCACAAGCAGAAACTGAGGCAGGAAGATCATGAGTTTAGGGCCAGCCTGGACTACATAGCAGTACCCTGACTATAAAACAAAGCAAAGCCAAAAAGAAGACTAGCCACATAGAGCATGGCTTTCCCTGGTCTCTGCCTGTGACTTTAGTAAGCAGCCTGCCCTAGTCGGTGCTCTAAGAACATGGCACAGCAGATAGGAGGCCTCTCAGGATACTTCATTCTTAGAGTTAATGTGAGCTTCTTAGTGCTTGACATGTAAAAGAAATTATTTACATCTAGTGAATTTTGTAGTTTGATACTCATTACTCTGAGCTTTGTATTGCAAATTAAGTTATTGAAGCAAGACAGGTGTCTCGCGCACAACTGTAACCCCACAATCCCAGTATTGGGGAGGCTGAGGCAGAGCAATTGAAAGCTCAAGGCTAGCCTGGGATAAGTACCAAGACTCTGCCTCACAAAGGAAAAAGCAAAAAAACAGGGCATGGTGGAGCACTCTGGGAAGTGGAGGCAGGAGAATGGAATGTCATCCTTGGCTTCCTAGTAAGTTTCAAGGCCAACCTGCTACGGTGAGATACCCTGTCTTTAAATATATATTTATTTATTTTCTCAGAATTCCTGGCTTCAGCGTCTCAAATTCTCAATAAAAATGAAGTATTAGAATTGTAAAATTGGTTAACTTTAAATTTCAGGAATTCTGTATTGCTTTGGGAAATGTCCTATTGTTCCATAGATGAGTGTGCTTTAATTCTGCTACCAGTAGTATCTCTATATATAATAGTCTGACCATGTACACACTTATAAGAGCTTCCAACTATCTCTTAGCTCTAATTTGGAGGGTGATGGGCAAGCAGCATGATAATCTTATTTCCTGTGACTAATGATAGTTTTGTGCTCTGCCTTTGTAACTTTGCTGTATTTCTTGTTCATATTCTGCTGCCATCTTGTGGCCATTTTTTTTTATTCAGAAACTAGAAGTGTGCTCCTTTTAAAGGGGTAGTTTTTCTGTTGTGAGACAGAGATTCATCATCCTTTGGGGAAGGGTTTTTATCCTGGGACCATAAAATGAAACTAAGGTATTCTGAGTCCCAGTTTATGATAAAGTGGAGCAAAAAGTCTTCCTTTGTCTGTCACTAAACATAATATGGTGTTTCCATTCCATAAAAGCACAGCATGACCTTGCACACTGGCAGTTTAAAGTGGTTGTTCACACCTTGAAAAGCTTACTCTGCACTTTGAGAAGAAGTAGTATCTGCAGAACTTCTTGCACACATTTAAATGGTTAAGTCTGTAAGATTGTAGCGAGAGAGCTGGGTGGTTGTAGCATGCCTTTAGTTCCAGCACTGGAGAAGCCGAGACAGGCAGATTTTTGAGTTCGAGGCCAGCCTGGTCTACAGAACAAGTTCCAGGACAGGCTTCAAAGCTACCCAGAGAAACCCTGTCTTGAAAAAACAAATCAAAGATTGTGGCAAAGAGGCTTTTTTCGTTGTTTGGAAATGCCTTTATTTCTGGATTTTTTCCATTCAATTCCGGGGTGTGTGAAGCTTAGGGTTATTTACAGAGTTTTTTCACTGCTGGAGATGATTTTGACCTTCATTTTATGGCTAAGAAAATCCAGTTGTATTAATTCTGACAAGATGATAGCTTGGGCAGATGACACTGTCCATTGTCTTGATGTGTGGTAGGCAATCTGTTCAACAACCTAACTAAAAGATACGTTCACAGGCTGAAGCCCATACAACTGTGCTGACCGACATAGAGTTTGGCAAATAAATTCTGTGGTTTTCCTATACTTCAGCTGATTGATTGACAGGACTCCTGATCTTAGTAGCCTGATCTAGAGCCCTTGCCAACTTAAAAAGTGGGGTCATTTCAGAATACTAAGCAGCAAAGAACATTGGTGGCTTAACTCTTGGTTTTCCTCCTGGCTCAATACCATATGACTACAAAACAACAGTAAAGTGTTAGGCAAAGATTAGAATTTATTTCAAGGACCATTCTTAACTCCTGTTGGTGAAACCTGTTTTGCTTCTGATTGAGAGTGAGGTGCTCTGCATGTCAGAAGTGACCTGGGTGTTGTGACACACCCCTCTAATCCAGCACGAAGAGTCAGAGGGAAGGGTGAGTACAGCCTGATCTACACAGTGAGTCCAGGACATCAGGGCTGTGTAGTGAGACAGAGCGGTGCTAGAGTAGTAATAGTGGTTTTTCCTGCTCTGGGCAAGGGTTTGTGAGTCCTCAGTCTAAATTTAGTCAGGCTGTGATCCAAAGCCTAGTCTTCTGCCTGCATTAGAGATAACAAAAATCTCCTCATACAGCAAAAAATAATGCTTTCCTTTTATGTTAAAAAAAAATGGGAGGGCTAGAGAGAGGGAGAGATAAGCCCTTGGTTGGTAAAATGCTTGCTGTATACATAAGAACTTGAGTTTGATCCCCGAGGATGAAAACGCTTGGTGGGCACTGCACATGAGAGATGCACACCACAAAAAAGTGAACTCATGCTCTACTCGCCAGAAAAACAGCGGAGGTGCACACCTGTGATCCCACATCTTGCATTGCAGACCAGCCCTGGCTTACATGCTGAGAAAGTCTGAAGAGAACATGTTTTCAGGGGGTGCAATAAAAGGTGAAACGGTGGGTGCAGTTGATCACGGGCAGCAGTAAATCCATATACTGACCTTGTTCTGTGTACACAACCTAGTCGACAGGAACAACCTCGGACTCCTGATGCTGTGCTTATTTGGGAAGGACACATTTTTAAACCAGTATAACTATAAACCTGATCTCCTTGGGAGATTTGCAATGCCAGTGTCCCAAATGATACATTATTTTAAACAAAAATAGCATAATTTGGGCCGGGCGTTGGTGGCGCACGCCTTTAATCCCAGCACTCGGGAGGCAGAGGCAGGCAGATCTCTGTAAGTTCGAGACCAGCCTGGACTACCAAGCGAGTTCCAGGACAGCCTCCAAAGCCACAGAGAAACCCTGTCTCGAAAAACCAAAAAAAGAAAAAAAAAAAGCATAATTTGTTACCAGAATTTGCTTACTGAGAAGTTTGTATATGAGGATAAACCTTCCAAATCAAACTATCAGGTTTCACTATTTCTTACTAAGTTTTTGTATTGGGTCCTTAGCATCTTAGGATTTCCTGTAATAACTAAAGTTTAAACATGCATGCTTATAGAAATGGCCTTTTCCATTAGTTTCTCTTGGTGTTGTTCATATTGTAATGTGATGTTACTATTTAAGTAGTTTTGCCCTTCTCTTCTGGGCTGTGATGCTTTCCCCTGGCTTACTTGGATCTCTGTCTCCTCTCCCAGTACAACCTTACAGTTAGAACTAACATTGAAGAAAGAGAGAAAGGTGCCTTTTGTCTAAAAAAAGTGGGACAGTTTCAAGGATTCCTTATTGTCTTCTGAAAATAGTGTCTTAGGAACTCTTGGGTCCCATAAAATTCATCAACGGAAATAGAAGGGGCTGGAGAGATGGCTCAAAGGTTAAGACCCTGGCTCGTGACCATCTGTAACTCCAGTTCAGGGGTTTCAGTGCACCTTCTGACCTCTGTGGGCACCAGGCACACACAGTGCACGTACATGCATGCAGGCAGGACACTCATACATAAAATGATGAGTGGTTTTCCTTTCTTTTCCTTTTTTTCTTTTGAGATTATGGTTACATTATTTCCCCCTTCCCTTTTCTCCTGAAACCTTCCATGTACTCCTTTCCTTGCTGTCTCATGAATTGTTGTTACATGCACTTATATATGTGTGGGTGGGTGGATAGGAAATAGAAGGCACAAGTCTCAGCTGGGCGGGCCTGGAACTTAAGAGGTCCACCTGTCTGTGTCTCCTGAGTGCTCAGATTAAAGGCAAGGGTCACCACCAACAGGCCTTGTTTGTGTTTTCCAAACCATGTTTCTCTGTGTCACAGTCCTGACTGTCCTGGAATTCGATTTGTAGACCAGGCTGCCTTGAACTCACAGAGATCCTCCTGCCCCTGCTTCCTAAGAGAAACCCTGTTGTATGTAATGAATAATATAGAAAAGGAGAATGACTCCCAACTAACCGCTTGCCTCCACATGCAGGCTCACTCAGGTACATACCTAATGTATGTACATGGGACCCACACATACATGAAGAAACAAGGAGAAAGTCTTTTAGATCAGCAAATGTTTATGAAGTTTCCACTTGTTACCTGCCGTTACACTGTAATTAAGAAGTGCTCATGTAGGTGTCTGTGTTAGGCACTGCGCTAGGGACCAAAGCACACCATCAGTGTCCCTAAGGAACTTTGTAGGGAGAGATGGGTGGCAGGTGAACTTATTATTCAGAGTGATAAGGGCATTGTCAAAACCTGCCATCCCATCACTCAATGTTTTAGCGTCAGAGAAAGTATCTACCCTTTGAGTTTATAACAAAAAATCTTCACCTGTGGTGACCCTGCTGCCCACCTGGTTTCTTATGCACTCTTGCCTAGATTTGCAGCCGCATTCCAGCCAGACCCCACAGAGCTCACGCTGCCCGAGGGTGGGTACTAGTACTAACGATTTACAGAAAGTAGGAGAGGTTCGGAAAGTTGGCCACTATCACACAATTTATAAAAGGTGGAACCAGTCTGATTCCTTGGTTCGCTTTTTTTTTTAACCTCCATAGGATCGTGCCCTGCTTTCTGAGCAGACAAGGATCACTATGTAAAAGAGAACTTTTAAAAATATACACAAGCATCACTTTAGCATGCTTTTTTTTTTTTTTTTTGCATGTAGGTTTAGAATCTTAAAAACACAGAGAAAATTTCATTCCTCTCTAAAAGCTCTGATCAAAATGAAATACTAAGGTCGGGTGTGGTAGCATACACCTTTAACCCTAGCACTCTGGAGTCAGAGGCAGGCTAATCTCTGAGTTCAAGGCCATCCTGGCCAGCACATGCAGAGCCCTTTCCTCAAGAGAGTGAGCTTGCAAACAAATTCTTAGAAGCTTGTCTGGTGTTGCAGTTCTGTTTGCTATTAAGGAAAGGAGTTGTTGAGTCTCTTCAGTGTTTTGTTGCTATTACTGGGGGTATTTTGCATTTTTGTTTATTGTTATTTTGCGATTGGCTAGCCTCACACCTGTAACAATCCTCCTGCCCCAATCTCTCAAGTACTGGGGATGTAGGATATTTGACAGGAATGCATCTTTCGTTCAGGTCTGTTTCAGACTTCATATTTAATCTAGTGAAGATGCCCATAATTACTGGTTTTTGCTTGTCTCTAAATCTCATTGTATTTAGCTAATCTCATCCTCCCTTGCCCCAAGTGACACCTCTCACTTCCATGTCTTGTTTGCTTTGGAGACCTTCAGGCTGTGCAAGGCCTTCTGGCTTTTTCCTTACTAGCTTTAGGCAACCCCTGGCTGATTGGGAACATGTCTGTTACCCTCCAGAGACATCTCCCTTTTCTCTTTTGGAGAAGGCACTCCCCCAGGTTTATCTGCTTCCCTCCACCATTGGAAACAGATAAGCTACATGTGGTCATTGCCAGGGGTGAGCAGCAAGAAGTTTTCGGTTGGAGAGTGGTGGGCACATAACAAAGATTGTGGCTCAATGTTCTGAGGGTGGACTAGAACTTTGGTCATCTTTAAAATTCTTTCCACTTGGGCCTTATCTTTCTTTCTTTTAATCATTTCTCATTCCGAACTCTGCTGTTTCTCTTCCCTTACCTTCCAGTCAGGCAGCTGTAACTGTGCTCTCCCCACCTGGCCCTTTCCCCCTGGGAGAAAGCACCCTGGCCCTGCAGCGTTAGACCTCTCTCTGTCGCTGTTGTAACCTGAGAAAAGAAGGGGAAAGGCCTAGCTTCTGGAACCAGTTGACTCCCTGTGGCCTGCCAGAGGATAAGAACCTTGCTCGCTCAGCTCCCTCCCTCTTTCCCCTCCCTGCTGCATCAGGGCCCTCCCCCATCCGCACACACGGGCTGCTGGGTAAGTGGCAAGATGGCTCCCCTGCATGTCTCCGGCTGATCGCCGCCGCTTCGCCAATACAATAGAGCCAGCTACTACCAGCAGCCTGGCCTCTTCCTCCAGAGAGACCAGTCCAGCCGAACTCGGGGTTTGCCGTGAGGACTTAAACGCTTCTCTCTTAAAAGCCAGATCTGTTTTAGCTTCCCCGCTCCACCGCCTCCCCTTCCATTCACCATTTTTTGGATCCCCAGTTGCTGCATCTTGATTTTCTCTCTCTGGATCGGGTGGCTGGGAGGAGGTGGTGGGATCTTGGGGCAAAGAAGGTGGTTTGTTTGGTTTGGGGTTTTGTTTTTTGTTTTAATTTTTTTAGGATTTTTTGTTTGGTTTTTGTTATTTCTTCCATTCCAGAAAGGGATAAACAGCACTTCCAGGGGGAGAAAAAAATCATGTTATCAGACAGCAAAGAAGGGTGAGAGCTTCCCATTCCCATGTGTCCCTTTCCCCGCCTCCAGCCCGCCCGCCGTCCTCAGCCTCCTCATGGCTTTCACTGTCTTTCATTTTGATCTGTTTTCAGGCATTCCGCTTTCTCCCTTTGTCCTTCCTGCTCCATTTCTAATTGGCCCCGTTGCCCTCTCTGAGAAATAGGTCGTTTGTTTTGGTTTGGTTTTTGATAAGCCTTTCTTCAAGATTTAAGCAGACAAATCACGTGTTTCTGTGGGGGCCTGTTAGCTGGGGGCTCAGTCCTGACTCCCCCTCCCCCTCAGTTCCGCGTCTTTCCCTGCCTACCCAAGGGAGGCTTTTCTGACCCCTTGTGTGTAGACAGCCTGTTGGGAATGCTGAATTTTCCGGTACTCGTTATTGGCCTCGGAGACTTGGTTTCCCATCTCTGTCACTTGGGCCCCTGACCATCTTGATTTGATTTTTTTTTTTAACCTAGTATGGGGGGGTGGGGCAGTTAGAAGTTAGGGATGATGACAGAAAGGTAGGAAGATACTTAATGGAGTCTGAATTTCTTTGTCTGAAGTGGAGGCTAACTTGTGAGAGTGGGTTCCTTGTTTGGGGGAGTTGTGTGGTGTGGGGGAGGGTATTACTGACTTGGGAGGAGTGTTCTCTTTATCTCTTGGAAGTTGGAATGAGGGAGTGTGGTGGAAGTGGCCTGACTCTTGAAACCTTCACACTTGAGCAGTTTTAGGTTCCCTAGGATGAGAGAGGTGGGCAAGCTCACCAACCTGTGTGCTCTCCCGAAGCCCCTCACCCTTCTCTCTTCCTGCTGTCTCTACATTACGTGGCTCATCAGGACCCGCTTATTAAGCAGTTGATTTAACACAGCAGAATCATTCCATACAGCCGTGCCCTCTCTTTTTTTTTTTTAAATGAAGGCATCAGGCTTCCTTTAGATTCTTGTATAAAGTAAAGGTGCCTGTGACCCAGGGGATAGGGAGGCTGATGGATAAATCAAGGTCGCTTTTGAAGGACTTTTTAGAGGAGGATGTTTGTTTCCTACAAGAGAACTGTGGAATTAGTACCTAAGAACTCTGAGTTCTGAGTGCCCACATGGAGAGAGCAGTGTCCCATCTGGGTACTGGGTGGCCTCGACCACTGTATTTTGCGCTTTTTCCCCCAGGAAAACATTACCACTTTCCTTTGGCAGAGTTCTAGTCTAATCTAAAAGGCAGCTATTACAATCCCACCCAAGTGAGGAGACAGTGAGATGCTATGGCCCCAAAGCTAACATCTTACTCTCTCTTCCCCTTCATTCTCTCCTGCCCTTTCCTTCAACCTCTTCCATCCTGTCAGTGAAGAGAAGGAGGAAGTGACCATGGACACAACTGAAAACAGACCTGAAAATGAGGTTCCAGAGCCTCCTGTGCCTGCTGCGGACCATGTCAGCAATGATGAGCGCCCAGAGGGCAGTGCTGAGGAAGAGGAGAAGAAAGAGGTAACTAGCCAAGCCACCTGTTGGGGTGGGTGGCAGAACACAAGGCTTAGGGAGAATAGACCGTCCTAGAGGTCCCTCTTACACAGTGGGGTGAATTAAGAAGGGACAAGGCAGGGCCTTGGATCAGGATAGGGCCATGGAAGAGTTCGCTGGCTTAGCAAGGGAAACCTTTGTGTTGGGGACAGGGCTGTTTGATTTTCTTTCCCTAAGTGGGAAGTAGAGCAGACCAGACTCCTAATTTGGAAGTCTGTTAGTGGTCCTTTTTCTAAAGCCCAAGCACAGCTTTTCCTGCTGCTGAAGCTTATGTGAAGCTAACTCCTTGAGCTTTCCCTCCCTTTTAAAGGCTGATGGTACTCAACGCCACCTGGTGGGCTTTGGTGGCTCTTACCATATCAACCATGCTGAGGAATTTTTGTGGCTCTTCTGCCCCCCAGTGGTCTCATCACAGAGGTACACTTCTTATAAGCCAGCATTGGAATGACCCAGAAGGTCCCCCTCCCTCTCTCTCTCTCTCTCTCTCTCTCTCTCTCTCTCTCTCTCTCTCTCTCTCTCTCTCTCTCTCTCTCTCTCTCTCTGTCTCTGTCTCTCTTCTTTTTTGGCATGTATATTACCTTTTTTCCTGTACCCAATTCAAGAGGCTTTCCCCTTTGGAGCCAGCGAAGTCTTCTTAGCTCTTGAAGAAATAGGTTTAGCTGGGTTTGGGAGTGGTATTATTACAGGGTGGGAGGGGCTGTTGTGTGTGTAGCCTTTCTCTGGTGTGTGTTGCGGGGGTGGGGGCCGGTGAAAGTGATTTGATGTGCAGAATATTATTTATTACAAGGTCCTTCTTCCCCGTAAAACTTTGTCCAAGTACCTCATGTACGGTAATCCGCCCGTAAAATATAACCCTGCCCAACTGGCCAATCGCTGATGCCGCCTCTACCTCTGGACCCACCCGCTGCTACTGAGCCGCCCAATCAGAACCGAGTCTGCTATCCAGGTGTCTTGGCCAGAGGGGGCATGTGTATGGGCTCCTGTGATGGCCCCCTTTTGCCTCCCTGTCTTGCTTACATCAGGGGGCTAAGAAGAGCACTGTTCTGGAGAGACTCGTATTGAGAAAACAAAAGGCATTTGGAAAGGGGTGGACTTGAATTCATCTCCCTACTTGGGACACCCCAAGAAGAGTTTGTGCCAGTGCTGGGGCGCCTGCCCACATGCTCTTACGTGTCAAAGACTGTGGGCTGCCTTGTTTGCTACAGACTGCTGGGATCCCCACCTAGGGACCCAGAAACCTAAGAGTCAGTGTTTGTGATCACAGTGCCATGCTGTAACGCTGAGTGGGACCCATGGCTTAAGCTGTGCCAACTAGGAGCCCTGCAGAGGAGTCTAGGGTCTGTACCCCAGGGCTTCAAAGCTGATGACAGCCCAACCCATGTGTCACCACTTGCTCATCAAATGGACTTTCTTTTGGTCCCTGTTGCTTGCTCCAACTTCTCCTCCATCCCCGGAGGCAGGGGCTTACTCATCCACCTGACTGGAAGCGCTGTCTCAGCTGGAGTCCCTGAGGAGATGCTCACCACAACCCAGAAGACACACTCTGATCTTGCTGCCGAATGTGTCCCAGGTCCTGGGAAGTTCATCTACTACTGCCCAGGCCGCCTTCATCAGAGGCTCCATGCTCCTCCTCGGTGAAAGGACCCCTCCCCAGTCACATTCCGAGGAGGAAAGGACTTTGGAGCCATCACCTGGATTCCAAGTTTTGAGTGGTGGTATTGCTGCTGCTTGCCACTGGTGGACTAGGGTCCTGCCTGTTCTGCTACTCACAGGCCATCTCGTCAGGGACTGCAAGATGATGCCCTCCAGGGCCAGGACTGATGTTCTGCCCCTATCCCCCCTCTGCCCCTCGCTGAGGCTGGCCATCGCCAGTGAACTGTCTTGACATGTTGGAAACTGGGCAGCGTCCCCCCACACGTGTCCCTCCCGCCCCCCCTGCGCCCCTGGGAGGACTCTGGCAGTGCCACGCTGACTACCACGCCGTGCGCCCACCTTTTTTGCCAACCCAACCCCCCACCAATTGCACAACGCCTAGCAGGGAGGGCTCATTCTGATTGGACCGGCGGTTGACTAGATACAGTACACAGTGAGGTGCGATTGGCTGAACTGAAGATCCCAGGTGTGAGATGGTACCTGGAACATTTGTCATATTCCTAGTTTATTCTTTATTTTCTACTTCTTCTTTAATCTATTGTTTTAATTTTTTCTTTATTTTTCTGATTTCTTTGTTGGGTTTATTTATTTGGTTCGTGTTTTTCTTGTTTTAATTAAGACTCCCCCCCCCCCCCTTTTTCTCACTAACTTACCCATCACAAGCAACCCAGCTAGGGGTCAGGCTGGCCCTTAACAGAAACCAAGGAGACTTGGTTAGATGACACAGGTGGGGCTGGGGGTGGATGGGAAAGGTTAAGAGGGTTCTGCCCTACCCTTTAGAAGGGTGGGTGGTGGGACGGTCTTAGTTTTCCCAGAAATAAGCACCTAAGTCTTAAGGTGTCCCCCAGACTTTAGCTCTGTCTGTGATATTACTTCCACTGAGTGTCTGTGAGGAGGTTTGCTCAAATCTGTCTTGGGTTTGTTTGGTTTTGGTCCTTAGCCAGAGACCCTGAGGATGAGCTCTATTTGAAGGGTAGAGGTAAGGCTCTGCTGGAGAAGGGTGGTGGCTGGAAGTCCCGGGGCTCCCCTGGGGCCGTCTGCCCTCTACCAGAGCCTCCTTAACAGGAGATGGCTGTAGGCTCAGGGTCTTCATCTTCAGTGAACCTAGTGTAATTCTTCTCGTGGTGCTGTCGGTCTGGCTGGTCTTCAAGCATCCCATGTCCTGTCGAGATGTCAGACTGGGCATGGAGTAAAGTTGTTGAAGTTGCCATCTTAAGAGTTGATTGTCTTGTATCTTTCAAATTAGTAAATAAAGACCTGGGAGGACCTGATCACAGGTCTTGGCGTAACTCAATGGGTTTGTGTCCTTGCCCCTTAGATACAGTTGAAGAGGGCTTGGTCAGCAACTTTAAAGGGCTGGGAGGGAGCTGAGGCAGGAGGATCACCACAAGTTTGAAGCTAGCCTAAGCTACGTAGTGAGATTCTGTCTCAAAAAAAAAATGAATTAAGTAGCTGGGAGGTTGTTGAATTCCTCTTGCAGCTTATTTCTGGTAAAGCTAATACACTGATGTGAAATGAAGTAGATGAGTTTCCCTACGATGTTTGGTTTTAATTTTTCCTCTAACTTGCATTGATTCTGCTTCGTTTTTTGCCGTTTGCTGCTTCTGTTTTGGTCTCTATCTGTTGGTGTCTCTCTCTGTCTCTGTGTGTCTTTGGCATTTATGCTAAGATTGCCCCATTTAACCTCCTCCCCCCCTCTCTGTGGGGTGTCTCTCTCTCTCTCTCTCTTCCTTATCTTCTCCATACAGAGTTCGATGCCTAAATCATTCAAGAGGAAAATCTCCGTTGTCTGTAAGTCTAGCCCCAATCCCTGGCAAAAGTTACAGAACTGTTCGCAGACTGACAGAATCCCACATCCTCCCAGTAGCATTCGTGGTGGGAGCAGATCTCCCTTGTCCCCTCCACCTAGCAAGTCTCTGCCTTTCCTTTCCTACAGATGTAGCTTCCTTTTTCCCCTTTGAGCCAATCCTGTTGTGTTTCTGCAGCTACCAGTGTGAGTGTGTGCGTGTTGCTGCGTACATGCGAGGCAAGCAGTACCAGAGCAGCTTCCTCGGCTCCAGCCACGTTTAAGGAGAGCGAGTGCTGTACCCCAGACCATTTCCAATCTATTCTCTTCTCCTTACTTCCTTTTGAAGCAAGGTCTCTGCTCTCTAGACCAGGCTGGCCTTTAAACTGCCACTGCCACTTTCTCTCAGGTGGCTGGGGTTGTAGGCCTGTGCTACCACACCCAGCTCTGCTCTCTTAGAGAAATGCTGTTCTTTCAGGTATCTGACCCTGAGTTTGTAATCAGAGAGACGCCCATGTATGCTTACCGTTTTACACTTTAGGACATGAGCGTGCTTCTTATAGTTGTTTTAACTGTTCCCGTGAGGCACTCGGGTGATGGAAGAGCTCTGCTTATTAGATGGTCATAGAAGCACCTAGTCTTGCAGTGTACTCCTGTCCCCGGCTTCTGAAAGTCAAGTATTTGTCCAACTAGTTACCCCCTTCTCCTTTTTTTGTATTTGTCCAACTAGTTACCCCCTTTTCCTTTTTTTAAATAACTGTTGTGGTTTGACATAGTGGGGAGTCTGAGGCCATCTAACTGTTTGGTTCTGTTTCTTGGGGACAGCAGCTACGAAGGGGGTGCAAGCTGGAAACAGCGACACAGAGGGGGGCCAGCCTGGTCGGAAACGACGCTGGGGAGCCAGCACAGCTGCCACACAGAAGAAACCTTCCATCAGCATCACCACGGAGTCGCTCAAGGTGAGGTGGGAGGAGCCAGGGAAGGGAGGATAAACCCTGTTCAGGTGGGAGTAGACATGGGCCCAGTGTAACGGGGTAGCGGGGGTGTCTGTGTCCCAGAGCCTCATCCCCGACATCAAACCCCTGGCGGGGCAGGAGGCTGTTGTGGATCTTCATGCTGATGACTCCCGGATCTCTGAGGATGAGACGGAGCGTAATGGTGAAGATGGAACCCACGACAAAGGACTGAAAATATGCCGGACAGTAACTCAGGTAAAAGTACTGCACCCGAGTATCAGGAGCGAGGCAGTGGATAAGAGCAGACAGCTGAGGAGCTGAGGTAAAGTCCTAGCAGGGACTCCTGTGCTGAGTGCTGGCTAATTGATACATCCTGGGCTCGTGCTACGCCAAATGCTGCCAGTTGCAAAGAAGACAGCTGTACCAGGCCATTACTCTTGTTCAGCAGCTTGTGTCACAACACCAGAACTGAAAAGTAGAGCCTGAAAACAGTAAGACAGAGAAGTTCAGGCCAGCAGGATTGTTCAGGGCCTGACAGCCCTCCTCAAGACCTGTTTGGTAGAGATCCAGCTCCTAAAGTGGCCCTGACTTCCAGAGATGCCTGTGTGCATACAGGCACACAGATAATTAAACGTTGTTTTGTTTCCAGTAAAAGTTGTTTAGCCAGGCATGGTGTGTCACACAGCTTTAATTCCACAGAGGCAGAGGCAAGCAGATCTCTGAATTCAAGGATGGTCTGGTCCACATATGGATCTCTAGGACAGCCAGTACTCTATAGACCCTGTCTCAAAACACAAAAAAGTTGAGAGTTCAGGAGAATAACCTCCCACAGTGGAAGGAATGCGTGAGGTTGATACCACTCTGGGAGCCAGAATCTGAAGAGAATATGCCCGTGTGATGGCAGACCACCTCTGTCTTCTGATGTCTTTATAGGTAGTGCCTGCAGAGGGCCAGGAGAATGGGCAGAGGGAAGAGGAAGAAGAAAAGGAACCTGAAGCAGAGCCCCCTGTCCCTCCCCAGGTGTCAGTAGAGGTGGCCTTGCCCCCACCTGTGGAGCATGAAGTAAAGAAAGGTGGGTGAGGTGTGACTGCTGTCTGAGTGCTCTGAGGACCACGTGTGGACCATGTGGGCACTTGATGCCTTCTGCCTTACATGACACGTTTTTTGTGCCTGGCATCTCCCAGGTACTGCTTTGAACTGGGTTTGCATCTTAAAATGTTCAGGTCTCCACGGTAAGGAGACTAGTCTGCCCTTGCACCCTGGCACATCTGGATGGAAGGGTGGCTGCTGGCTACATAAAGAGAGGAAGGAAGCAAGGAAGGAAGCCATGAGACACCTGGGCAGTGAGCCAGCAGGGCTGCCTCTTGAAAGCTGCTCTTGTGCTCTCTCTCTCTCTTTTCTTAGTAACTTTAGGAGATACCTTAACCCGGAGGTCCATTAGCCAGCAGAAGTCTGGAGTTTCCATTACAATTGATGACCCAGTCCGGACTGCCCAGGTGCCTTCCCCACCCAGGGGCAAGATCAGTAACATTGTCCATATCTCCAACTTGGTAAGTCATTGTTTCCATATTGTAGGCTCCGCTCCTTTAGGGTTTACACTTTGGGTGGGAACTAGAGAGATGTCTTGGCAGTTAAAGAGGGCTTGAGTTCAGTTCTCAACATCCACATGTGAGAGCTCAAGCTAGTCCTCTGGGAAAGAAGCCAGTGTTCATAGCCACTGAGCCATCTCTCCAGTCCTGCTTGGGAAATCTTAATGCTAGACATATAGGTGTGCTAACCTTTTAAGAGCTTGAAAATTCATTTTCATTGGCAGGTTCGACCCTTCACTTTAGGCCAACTGAAGGAGTTACTGGGGCGGACAGGAACTTTGGTAGAAGAGGCCTTCTGGATTGACAAGATCAAATCTCATTGCTTTGTGACGGTGAGCAGAGGCACTGACTCTTTAGTTTGTGGCATGTACTTTTATGAGCAGTATGGGCAGATTTGAGGGCATTGTAGCAAGTGGAGGGGACTAAAGATCACCATCTCTCTCTGCTTCTTCCTCCCCAGTACTCAACAATAGAGGAGGCAGTTGCTACCCGTACAGCTCTGCATGGGGTCAAGTGGCCCCAGTCCAACCCCAAATTCCTCTGTGCTGACTATGCTGAACAAGACGAGGTGAGAACCCTAAGGAAAAGGAGAGAATGGGCAGAAGCAACCGCCTTCTGCTGGATTCTCGGGCCCTCACCAAACCTCCAGTTGCTAAGATTGTGTTTTTTTCCTCCCTGGTACTTCATTGGGAATGACTGTCCTTGTCCCTCTGTCCACAGCTGGACTATCACCGGGGACTCTTGGTTGATCGACCTTCTGAAACTAAGGCAGAGGAACAAGGAGCACCAAGGCCCCTACATCCCCCACCCCCACCCCCAGTTCAGCCACCACCCCACCCCCGGGCAGAGCAAAGGGAGCAGGAACGGGCTGTGCGAGAGCAATGGGCAGAACGAGAACGAGAAATGGAACGACGGGAGAGAACTCGGTCTGAGCGAGAATGGGATCGGGACAAAGTTCGAGAGGGGCCCCGCTCCCGATCACGGTCCCGTGACCGCCGCCGCAAAGAGCGTGCAAAATCTAAAGAAAAGAAGAGTGAGAAGAAAGGTACTTAGCTGTGACGAGGGCAGGGTATTCATGTCTCCTCCTGGCTGGAGAGACGGGACGGGGACCCAGGTGGGTTGGGTTGGAGGATTTTGTGCATCTTATGTTGATTTCCTCCTACCACAGAAAAGGCTCAGGAGGAGCCGCCTGCCAAGTTGCTGGATGATCTTTTTTCGGAAGACCAAGGCGGCTCCCTGCATCTACTGGCTCCCACTGACTGAGAGCCAGGTGAGTGCTCTCCTTTGCTGAGTAGTGGCACTGACTTAGAGATGGCAGGGGTGAAATGAAATATTGCAGAAAGTCAGCTTTAGGAAACAGCCACTGGGGCTGGAGAGATGGCTCAGTGGTTAAGAGCACTGACTGCTCTTGCAGAGGACCTGGGTTCAGTTTCCAGCACCCACATAGCAGCTCACAGCTGTCTGTAACTCCGGTCTCAGGGGATCTGACACCCGTGGCAAACACCAGTGTACATAAAAGAAAAATAAGTAAAAAAAAAAGCAGCCCCTGAGGGTGCTGTAGAGAAAGTGAAGGCGGTCATCAAGGCAGGAACTGGAGCTTGGGTGTTCCAAGAAGCTGTTACCCACACTTCTTGGAACTTGACTTGTGAGCTGAGAAATGTGTTTTATAAGGTTTTATACAGGTTGTCTCTGCTTCTTCATATTTAGAATCACTTTTCCATGAGGATTTCAAAGCATTTTATTAGTGTCTATGTTGGAAGGGGATTGCTTGCCATGGTGCTCATGTGGGGGTCAGAAGACAGTTTGATGGAATTGGATCTTGGGTGAACTAAGTTGCCGGGCTTTTGCAAGCAGGGCTTTAATACAGCAAGCCATCTTGCTGGCCCCTAGAGTGATGGAGGCTAGAAAAATACCAAAGAGACTGCACGTGGATGGTTCCTGTATAAGGGGGAGGGACGCACAGCTCACCCCTATGCCTGCCTTTTTCCTGTTTAACAGGGAACTGGGGTGACCTTGGGGCAAGGTATACAAAGTGGGACTGATTCAGACAGGACGGTAACGCGCTTTCTGTCTCTGCCCTTCCGGCCTTGCTACAGATTGTTCAGAAGGAGGCAGAGCAGGCTGAACGGGCCAAGGAGCGGGAGAAGCGGCGGAAGGAGCGAGAAGAGGAGGAGCAGAAGGAGCGGGAGAAGGAAGCTGAGCGGGAACGGAACCGACAGCTAGAACGGGAGAAGCGGAGAGAGCACAGCAGGGAGAGGGAGAGGGACCGGGAGAGGGAGAGGGACAGGGGGGACCGAGATCGGGATAGGGAAAGAGACCGAGACCGAGGCAGGGAGAGGGATCGCAGAGACACCAAGCGCCACAGCAGAAGCCGGAGTCGAAGCACACCTGTACGGGATCGGGGTGGGCGCCGCTAGCTAAGAAAACAGAGCTGCAGGTACCTGCCACTCTGCCCTGGGAGGTTAAAGGCCACAGAGGGATAGGTACAATCACCGCCACCCCGGAACCAAGGGTCTCACACCATTGCTCAGTGCTGAACTGTAACTGCCACCCGTCCCCACATACCAAATGGAGCAGTGGCAATGTCTCCCTCCCCCCACCTAACTCTTGGAACTTAGTCCTCCTCCTTTCTTCCCATTAAGTCCGAGAGGTAAGAGCTAGGTTATGGAGGGAAGGGTTTGGCCGGAAGTGGGAATAGCCAAGTGCCCCAGACCTTTCATTTCCCTCCGTCCTGCTTTCCACCTCCCTTGGGTACTCACGCAGCCTTTTGGGAACAGCCGGGGCCAGGACTGGGTCACCTATGAGCTGAATCAGCCTCTCCTCCTGAGTCCCGGGGCCCCTGCAGTTCCCAAGTCTGTTTTGTCCTGCAGCCTCTTGCCCTCTGGTTCCACTTTATACCCACCTTTTCCTTTTGTTCAGTTTTTATTTTTATTTTTTTATTATTAAATGATGTGGTCTATGGAAAAATAAAAAATCTGACTTAGTTTTAACTAGTATTTGCGTGCCTTTCCTTGGGAAGGTTGGGGTGAAAGGGGCAAATTGAATGACATGAGCATGGTGAGCCTCTGCATTCTTTTGGCGCAGCCGCCTGCCTCAGGAATCCTCATCACCGCCTCAGCTCTAATCAGCCCAAAGCTGTAGTCTTTTTTTTTTTTCCCACTCTGGGAAATAGTGTGTCCGTTTCCTTTGTAGGACCCCAACAGCTGCCAGGGTCGGCTTCACAGTCCCCTATGCAATTAGGCAGTTGGTCACCCTCAAGATGCTTCCCACAGCCTCCACCAGGGAGCGCAAGCACTCTAAAATAGATCCTTGCAAAAGCGCTTCCCTAAAAGATTCTCACTCACCGATGTCGTGCCCCTGTCCCTGGCGAGCTCCCTAGAACCCCGCTTCCCCTTCCGTCCTTAAGCTCACCCTGGCCAACTCAACTCGATGTTGTGACCCGCACAAGGTCCCCGAGGCGGCAGCCTTGCAGCCGCACCCGAACCCAAACGTGAAGCAGGGTGTCCGCAGTGCTCTCCCGGGGCCCCACCTCACGGTATGCCTCCGCAGGTACCGTGCTGGCCGTTCATGCTTGGGGCCCTCCGCCAGGCCCTCGGAATAGCCTGGCCGTCCTGCCCGTACACCCTGCCTCGCTGCGGGCCGGCCCGGGAGGGGCCCCGCATCTGTATGCGCCCCGCAGCCCGGGAGCCGCGGGGGCGGGGACTGGCCGGGGAGGGTCGGAGGCAGGGCTCTCCTCTCCCGCGCGAGCCGCCTCTCCTCCGCAGGCGGAGCCTCCTTCCCCCGCCCCCTCCGTCTCGCTCCCTTGTTCTCGCCGGGGCCGCTCAGACCTGCAGCGGAGCCGCGGCGCCGGCTTGGATCCGCTTGGGGCTGCGCCCCCGGGAGCCAGCGACGGAGGCGGGCGGGGCGCTGCTCGCAGTCCCGAGCCCCTCGGCAGTGCCAGGTAAGGGCGCCTGCCCGGGTCGGGAATCCTCGCGGGGGCAGCGGGCGACCCGCAGCTTGCGGTGCGCTCTGGCTGCGAGCCGTACCGGCTCGGTTCTCCCGCGCTCTGCTCTCTCCCTTCTCACACACCTCTCCCTTTGCCTTTCCTGATTTCCCTTCACCCTTCGGCCCCTCTGCCCCTTCTCTCTCTCCCTCTTGCCCTGTCTCTTCCCATCTCTTCTTCCTCTACCTTTCTCCTCTTTTCCCTTTCCCGCTCTCCTTTCCTCTCCCATTGCCTTCCTCTCCTCTCCTCTCCTCTCCTGCTGTCCTGTTTCCCACTCCTCTGTTTCCTTCCTTCTCTCTTCGTCCCGCCTGCCTCCCCGGTCCCCAGCTGCCCTCTGGCTTCTTTTCTCTTGGGAGCAAATGGCCTGTCAGGTGTGTGTCTGCTCTGGGAGGAGGGGCACAGCTACCTGACCGTGGGTCCCTTCAGGAGGAGAGAGAGAAATGGGAAGGGTCCTCTCTCTAGCTCCTTTCCCGCAGCCCCTCCCTCCCTCTACTGCTCCTGATAGCTTACTCTACCGGAATGAAGTTCCCGAGGCCTGAACACACACACACACACACACACACACACACACACACACACACACACACACACACACACACACACACTGCCCCTACCAGTTCCCATGCCTAGTACCTAGAACTCCTTTCTACCTTTCTGATACCCCAGCTGCTTCCCTGATGTCTTCTCTCCCGCTGCCCTTCTCTCTCTGTGCTCTGTCTTTCTCGTCTATCTGGTCTCCCCGTCTGCCAGGCCATCCCTGATTCTTGACCCAGAACCCTCAATCATGCTGCCTCTGGCCCCTGGGTCAGCCTCCACTCCACCTCTCCTCCGTCTCCCTGCACTGCCTGCAACCCTGTTCCCAATCCCTCCGGCCTCACTCTGCTCCATTGGAGCAGCCCCCTCAAAGACTGCAGCCAGCAGAGCGGACTGGGGACAGTCTGGATGGGGGGGCAAGGGTGCTGTTCTAAGTCCCAACCGGACTTGGGCACCCTCCTTGTGTTCAGCCTGACCCTATGGATAAGGAAGGCCCTGTGTCAGTGAATACAACCTCTTAATTTTAAGCCCTTTCTCTGTGAGGCCACCTACCGTCTCTAGTTCCCTAGTTGTGTGCCCAAGGGAGAAGGACAGAACAGGATTTGAAATTCCAAGTCCCTTTAGCACCCATCCCTGTGCTGTTAACTCCCCAGCTTTCCAGAGCTGACTGACCTAAAATGTGTAGGCTTAGAGGGCTGGAGGGGAATCCGGGCAGGGCTAGGTAGGAGGGTGCAGCTGTCTGTCTTGGACTGGGCTCTGGGCAGTGGATGTCTGGTTTCTTACAGATCTGGGAGAGGAGCAGGATCTAGACTTTCCTTGACCCTGAACAGCTCCCTGTCCTACAGGTGTGGATCCATGGGGTAGCCTCAACGCATCTTCCCCAACCAGCGCATGGGCCGCCTGGCCCTGCCCAGCCTCGGCACCTGGGGCTGGTGAGCCAGCGCCCTGGCTCAATTACAAGCATGTGGGGCCTTGTGAGGCTCCTGCTGGCCTGGCTGGGTGGCTGGGGCTGCATGGGGCGCCTGGCAGCTCCAGTCCCAGCCTGGGCAGGGTCCCGGGGACACTCCGGTCCTGCACTGCTGCGGACCCGAAGGAGCTGGGTCTGGAACCAGTTCTTTGTCATTGAGGAATATTCTGGCCCAGAGCCTGTCCTTATTGGCAAGGTAAGGACCAACCCTTCCCATGTCTGCTGTGACTAGTCTGCCAGGCCCTTAGGCCCTGCCCTGCAACTTTATCTCTGCAATGACCTTGGTCCCCCTAGCATTCCTAACAGTCGACCCCAACCTACACTCTAACCTGCGCCTGCCTGCCTGCCTGCCTTGGAGCTCCCTGCCATTTTCTCTGACTCTTCCAGCTGCACTCAGATGTTGACCGGGGTGAGGGCCGCACCAAGTACCTGCTGACTGGGGAGGGGGCAGGCACTGTATTTGTGATTGATGAGGCCACAGGCAATATCCATGTGACCAAGAGCCTGGACCGTGAGGAGAAAGCGCAGTATGTGCTGCTGGCCCAAGCTGTGGACCGCGCTTCCAACCGGCCGCTGGAGCCCCCGTCAGAGTTCATCATCAAAGTGCAAGACATCAACGACAACCCGCCTGTGTTTCCCCTTGGGCCCTACCATGCCACGGTGCCCGAGATGTCTAATGTTGGTGAGCACCCCAGCCCCAAACGCCCTGGCTTTCCTGGAGCTCCTTCAGCCCTCCCCCCTGTTGTGGTCTACCCTAGACGGCTCCTTTAGCTCAGCCTTCCTCACTTGGGCCCCAGTCTACTCTTTTCTGGCCTGGCTGCTGCTGTTGAGTGGGATACGGGAATCTCCCACAGGGACGTCGGTAATCCAAGTCACTGCTCATGACGCTGACGATCCCAGCTATGGGAACAGTGCCAAACTGGTGTACACTGTGCTCGATGGACTGCCTTTCTTCTCTGTGGACCCCCAGACCGGTGAGAATGGCCCCGGGAAGCTTGTGGGGCAGCCATGGGGCACACACTCCCTGACCCAGTGTCTCTCTCTCAGGAGTGGTTCGTACAGCCATCCCCAACATGGACCGCGAGACCCAAGAGGAGTTCTTGGTGGTGATCCAAGCCAAGGATATGGGTGGCCACATGGGGGGGCTGTCAGGCAGTACTACAGTAACAGTCACCCTCAGTGATGTCAACGACAACCCCCCCAAGTTCCCTCAGAGTAAGAGGGCAGTTCTCTGCCCAAACAGTCCTTTGATGGCCCTACCCCTCAGCTTTTCAGAGACGACGCCCCTCCAATCCCACCCTCCCCCAGTCCCATCCCAGCCAGACCCTACAAAAAGGACGTGCTTGGGGAGGGCAGGAGGACTGGAGACTCCTCTCAGAATACCTTCCCCCCTTGTTCCCCTAAGGTCTATACCAGTTTTCTGTGGTGGAGACAGCTGGACCTGGAACCCTGGTGGGCCGGCTTAAAGCTCAGGACCCAGACCTAGGGGACAATGCCCTAATGGCATACAGCATCCTGGATGGGGAAGGATCAGAGGCCTTCAGCATCAGCACAGACTCCCAGGGGCAGGACGGGCTCCTTACTGTCCGGAAGGTTAGCCTTCCCTCTCTTGATACCCGAAGACTCAGCTGGGGGCGTAAAGCTCAGTGGTAGAAGCTGGTCTAACATGCTGAGATTTGATTCCCAGCACCGGGACACACACACACACACACACACACACACACACACACACACACACACACACACACA